ATTTCTCTCCCGAGACCCTCTGTGGTTCCTTTCCGTGCCCGACGACCTGCCATCTCTGCTGCAAATCTAGATGCAATGATTGGGTCAGCTATACGACTCAAGATTAGCCCAAGAAACAGACCTTAAGCATTCATCTAATCGCCATTTCCAAGCCCACTCAGAATCCTGAACATCCGGTTTCTTTCCAATCTTGGCATTGTTATTGTTCCCTTTTGTGTCCGTCACCTTTGGAGTAGGGACATTCGGACAGTAAGGCGCCCCTGGGAGAACGTGTCTATGAACCCAAGTCAGATTCGAACGAAACTTTTTGTCTAGAGGAATCTCATACCGCGTTAGCGCGTAAAGCAGTCCAGCCTGCCATGCTTCAATGACACCAATTGGTACTGGAGGGAGACGTTTCGGTAGAGTAAGGCGCATATCGCTCCTCACGCTTCGTATACTCTTTCGATCATCCATATCTCCTTCCCTCTCGGCATCTAGGCTTGCAAGTGCACGTTCTTGTCCCTCTTCTTCTCTCCTAAGACGTTCCACCTCTTGCTCCTCCCTCAATCGCATCCTCTCCTTTTTCAGTTTACCTACGCGTGTTGGTCCATCAGGGCGCGTATTACGTCCATCTTCTGTGGCGTCTGAATCATTTCCATCTTCTGACTGCTCGAGTGAAGAATTGTCCAGGGCGTCGGATTCTACGGAGTCTCCTTCCAGAGGTCCATACACCCTCCTAATACGCTCCTGCATGACAAATCGACTGGCACCTGTGGCAACTGTCACATCGATGTCCGAGTCGACATCTGAAGGGGATAGAGCGACGCCTTCGCTGATAATGACCCCGCTGGGACCTGTACCCATCCTGAGCATTTCCGTTTGTAACCCCAGTCTCACAGGAGCTTGATGTCCCGTACCACTATTCCCCCCTGCTCCACGATCCATATCCGTTTCGGAGTCGTCACCAGAGTCATAGATGACGGCAGTTCGGTTGGCTCGATAGTCCCAGCTCGAGTCAGGAGTGACATTGGCAAAAGCTTCTGCTGTAAACCCATAGTCAAAGCTCGCACCGCCGATACCACTTCCGCCGACACCGACGATCCCCGTGGATATCTGCGCGTCTAAATGGTCAATCACATGGCCATCGTTGGTTGGACTAGAGGGGGACATTGGACCTTCGTCTGTTGGAGTGTCCTGTCGATGACGGCCACCGCCTTCCTGTGCGAGATGTTCTTGAATCCAATCCGGAAGTGGTTTCCTGGGACTTCTGGCTCCATCGGCATGAAAACTACTGCTTATTGTGCTGAACTCCCGATAACGGGGATCCTCGGATCCAAGGGACAACTGTGTCTCTGGTCGCAGCTCGGGACGAAGCTCTGCGTTTCCACCAATACCACCTGGATGGAGAATGCCGGCGGCGGAAGCATAGTGGTGGAGGGGGTTCTGGTGCTGTTGTTGGTGAGGTGGAGCAGATACAGGGTCTGCCGGCGTGACCGGCGTCTTGCTCCCAGCGATGTCGAGAGACGGGTCCGTCCAGACACTGCTTTGAAGGTATTCCCGGGTGGGAACACTCAGCAAGGCACCTCCCTCGTGATCCCAGTGCACCAAGAGAAGTGCATGAGGTGCAACAAGTGGAACTTGTGACAAGAGGAAAGAGCGAGGTGTTAGCTTAGAAGCCGGTGTGGAAGGGTTAACAGACTAGAAAAAAAATAAGGCTTGAGTTAAATTTTGACTTGTTTATTTTCACGGATCATGGGTTGTGTCCAAGCACTCACGAGAGCATAGGCTTTCCTGTTTATGTAATGAATGAACTCAGTTACACCCGTGATGCCGCCAGCATGGTAGAGAGTACGGAATGGCCACTCACGAGTAGAATATCACATCCACGTGCAGGAAGAGTTGTTCTCTTGCCAGCTTTCCTTGAATTCCGTTTACCACTGGAGCGGTGCAGTCTAACGAAAATGTTGCCTTATCCCTCCAGAATCTGTCACGTGCCAAACCATCTACACCCGTCAAGTTGGCTAGCGTGATGGCGTCTGCGCCAGGAGAACGTCCCACAACATGGAAGATCGTAAAG